GCGTGCGCTTCGCGATGAAGCTGCTCATCTACCCGTCCGATCTGCCGGACGACATGGTGTTCGACCCCGTCACGGAGGCCATCGTGTTCAAGCACACCCTCCGCGAGCGCCCCCCTCCTCAAGGGGGTGTTAACGCGGGGACTGGAAATGGGAGCGCGTTCAGGCGGAAGGTGTTCCTGTTCCCGAAGAACATCACCGTCGCAGAGGTCATCGAGATCGGGCTGGAGCGTTTCGGGATCAGCGAGGGCGTTGTAGATGGGGGGGATGAGGTCGAGGATAAGAGCACCAAGCGGCGGAGCTCGAGTCGGGTGCGGTACGTTCTGAAGGTGTCGATCGACGGCAAAGGTACTTCTTCCCTCTTCATCACAACGTGAGGACTATACTGACAAGATGGAATAGAGAGAGAACTCCCAATGTCCTCAAAACTCACCGACGCCTACCCGCGCCCACCATCCTACAAGCCCCCCGCCTCCCTCTCCTCCCAATCCAAGCGGCGCAGCGTAGACAGCATGCAGATCCTCGGCTCCCCGGACGACGTGCCCGCGTCCGACCCCGTCTTCGTCCTGCGCCGCGCGACGACGTACCGCCCGTCGACGGCAAGGCACCCCGCGCCGCTCGACGACGTCGCGCTGCACCATCTGCACCGGAACCGCGATTCCGCGTCGAGTTCTACGTCCAGCGCGAGCGGTGGCGGCAACGGCAGCGGCAGCGGCAGCGCGGGTGGCGGGCAACAACTCAGTCGTGCGGAGCTGATCGCGGCGCAACGCGAGGCGCAGCGCGCGTCCCAGCGCGCGATGCTCGGCCCACAAGCGAACGCCTCGCGCGGGACCGACGTGCGTCTCCCCGGCGGCGCCCTACTGCGCTCGACGCGCGCCACGCCCGACGCGCGCGTGCGCTACGCGTACGTCCCGCCGGGCAACGGGAGTACCAACGGGGGGCCTATGGACGTCACGGATATCGTCGAAGAGGAGTATGCACCTGGGAGTGGAGGTGGGGGAGGGGGG